AGTAGAAAAGGTCACAAGACGAAGACCTTTGACTCCCCTTTTAAGGTGGATCCAAAGGCGGATGGAAAACGAGATGATCTTGTTTGGCATTTCGTTGCTCGTGGTCATTATTTAGATKRATCCACTGCGATCGGGAGGAAGAACGGTCGCCGTTGTTTGTGCAGGTTATGCGGTCGTTCTCTATGTGGGGGTGCTCGTGAGGCGAAGGAACACTTTTTTCGTGGCGAGGGGTATAGATGCCAAGTAGCCACTCCGGCGGTGTGGCATCGATTTGGTCAAAGGATATGTCCAAGTGTCCTGCACATTTGGCTTCTGCCGTGCAGGCCTTGCAGAGTCTCCCTCTAGGTCATCCCTCTTTTCAATGGCCACCTCTTCGTTTTTCCGATGACGTCGTTCCGCCGCCCCCGTCGACCGCTGCCGCCTCGCAAGTGGCGCCATCTCCATGTGCACCACTTGCTCCCCTCCCCCCTCGTCCGCTTCGTCAGACGATTCCCGCATCCGTTGATGGCAGACCATCTGTAGCAACGCAGCCTAATGCGCAAGGCACCGTGCCAGTTTCAGGTGTCGGGGAACCTGTGTCGTTCGACGAGCAAGGCACTCGTGCTTTCGTCGAGGGCAGTGGGTGGGGGAAGGACGCTGGCACATCATCAGGCCTCGCCCCGTTGTTCACTGGCAACAGGGATAAGGTCCCAAGAGTTCGACGCACAGACACACGTCCGGCCGTGGCAGGAGCACCCGCAATAGGACATCAATCCGCTGCGTATCTATGGTTGTCTCCCCGTCCTTCGCAAACACGACGGCCTACACCAGACTTGACTTCGGCACCTGTTGGCGAGGCCGCTGCAACGGCCACTGAGGGTGCGGGAAACGTCCAGCTCGACGAGCCCATCCAGGTTTCGGATTCGTCACCCACTCCTGTGCCCGTGAACGGCCCGACCTCGCAGCACGGTGTTTTTGGGACACTGAATCCTTTACAGAATCTGCGCAACATTGCAGCTCCGAGTCCAGGCCCCACCGCATCATCTGCGGCCGGGGGCGGGGTGTGGGATTCGCTAGGTATGGGCGCCGGTGCACGAGTGAGGGGCACTTACAGGCAGCAGGCGGTGACCTCGTATTACAACGACCCGCTGGAGCACGCATGGCACCTGCAGATCATGCGATTCATTGTCGAGAGCGGCATGCCGTTCAACTGTGTGAAGCTTGAGAGCTTCAAACGCATGTTGACGTTGATTATCCCGCATGGGGCTCCAGGAGTCCCCACCCCAAAACCCCCAACGTATCACATGATCCGTACCACACTTTTGGATGAGCTTGATGTGGAAGTCCAAAAGTGTG